GACTACACACACACACACATATAACATTTGTATACATTTGTGTGGTTTTAAGAAAAAAAATCAACAAAAAAGCAAAACAAATTTCATAAGAAATCAAATGTAGCACACACACGAATCAAAAGAATCAGAAAAGTAAATTATTAAGAATATAAGAATTAGGGCTCGAGATTTAGCTCAGTGGCATACGCACCTGCCTTGCAAGTAGGCGGTCATGAGTTCGATCCTCACGACTGATAAAAAAAAAAAAGATAAAAAAGAATATAACAATTTGGTATTAGAAGTACAGCTCAGCAGTATAGCATCTGCCTGACAAGCACAAGGTCCTGAGTTTGATTCCAGGTAACCCACCAAGCCAAAAATACCCACATGTACACACACACACACACACAAACACACACACACATATATATATATACATATATATGTATATACATAAACACACATACGACTTTAAAATGTGATCATGGCCATTTGTCAGCTGTGCCTATGGCTACTACAAAGGACAGTAAAAAACCTTATAATATAAACTGAATATGGTTCTGTCCTGCACATATATAGTAATTTGGAAGGGGAAACAGAGCAAGGTCATTCCTCATGGTGCTCAAATTGTCAGGATGAGGGTTCCTAAGCTTCCTGTGGGTTGGATTACGTCCTGGGAAGGTACCTGGGGCAGAGACCTGCTCACAAGCACCAGCGATGCCCTCCCCTCCAAACACACACACACCGCCTGCCTTAGTTTACCCAGTGAGCTGAGGCTCCTCAACTCTACTAGATTTTCTTGGGAGGGAAGAGTCCGCTTCTGGAGGGACTTCAATGTCAGGGGGCCACAGAGGGGACACTGGGCCTAGGTGCATGCCACAATGTGTCCCACAGTAGCACAAGAATCAAGTACACAACTAGTGGTGCTGGGCTCACTGATTACCTGTTTGGGCAAAGTAGGCAAATCACATCACGATCACCCATCTTGCTTAAAAGTAACGAGCAGCCTGTCTGTGAGACCAAGCCTGACACAGGAAGTTATGAAAGAACCGGGAAACTGAAAAGGAGGCTCTTTTAGTAATCAGAGAGTGGGGGAGGCCATCCTAAACCACCCACAGAAAAACAGACAGTCAGGGAGAATTAAACTTCCAGGTGAAAAGGAGGCCAGGAGCAAGGTGGGGAGGAATGTAACAGACTTGGAGCAGACACATGCAGCAATCAAAGCAGGCAGGGAGTGAGGCAAAGTTATGGTTTGTGTTCTTGTGGCCCCACCCCAAGCCTCATGCAATCATGGAAGTGACCCAACCTAGCATTTGTGATTGGTCTATTGTCTAGCGCTTGGGTTGGTGGTGTGAGGGCTACACCCACCTAGGGGTGCAGCCAGCATACAATGTACCAATGTACAGGTAGGGAGAAGGTGTGTCTCTCTCTTGCCCGCTTCCAGCTTGCTGTTTGCTGTGGCCTGCCATGCTACCCTGCCACCTGGAGCCAACTGAGTACAGACTGGAACTTTCAACCTGTGAAAAATAGACCTTTCCTTCTCTAAATTTGGGTGTCAGATATTTTGTCTCAGCAAGGAGAGAGAAAAGTAACTGAGACAGGCAACATTGGCAGACTTCTGTTGGGCTCTGGTGCAACACCCTTCTGCTTTTTGGACCTATTAGTGTCCTCTGGGAGGGAGGGAGGAGCAAATCTTGCCCACTGCTACTCACCTTGCAGCTCACAGTGCCAAGGCACAGAGACTGACTTGGTGAGGGCTGTGCTGACCCTTGGGTGGCACTTGAGAGGAATTGGTTGAGGTGGAGACTGCTTTGAGAGTGACATATAGGGCTCCAGCAAGGATGCAGGGTTTAAGACTGAATGGGCACACAGGGAAGCTAGATGTCTGCAACCCCGAATCACTTACAGAGAGAGGGTGGAAGAGTTTCTTCAACTACAGGATCCCCTGGCACCACCACGGACGGTGGGGGTGGGGAAGGCAGGCTGGGAATGGTGCAAGAGTTAGTGCAGAAGCCAGTACTCTCAGGGAGCAAGTGGAAAGGAGCTGATGAGATAAACGAGAAGCAAAGCCAAGGCCCTCTGCGGAACTCAAAAGCACTCTGTGGCATCAGTCCTGGACTTACAGAAGAGACAGCTCAGGCTGGGGCTGCACCTTCAAGGCAGGGCATCCCTCCACAGAATGGGACAAGCCCAGCATGGATGATCTTGTCCAGTGTTTGCCATGAGAAACTCAGAAAAGGCTACCTGATAGTTGCAGCAGACAGGTGAGTTTAGAGATTTGCAGTTCAGATCTGTTCTTAATTTACGTTGCATCGCCTGTAGGATCTGTGCAACAAGTGATCTTGCCAGTGCTGAGGGCCTCTCGGGGTCTTCAGCAGGGCCTGGGTGGCAGGAACGCTTCCCACTCCACTGCATACACCTGCTGCAGGGGAGAACCTGCAGGGAAATGGGCTCCAACATGGTACCACCACAGACAGTCAAGGGATACGGGGCAGTGTTTTCGGGAGGGTAGCGCTTTGGGAAGGGCAGTGCTAGCAAATGGACAAGAGGGTTTTGACATGAGCTAAGACCCCGCAGTGGAGGCACCTCAATGCTGCCAGGCTTCCCTGTGACAGAGCTGCTCAGGAGATGGACAGGAAGCCTCCAAAGCCCTCTCTGAGTTAGGAGTCAGCTGTGGCCGGCCTTAAAGTGTCAAGTACCCAAGAGAAGCTGGACAACGGTACACAAACAGAAAACTGGAGATCAGGAGTGTGCAGGGGAGTATGGAGGTGCATGCTAATTTGGGCCACAAGCTAGGAAAAAGGACAGCAGCCTCTGCCTCTGTGCTAAGATTAAAAGAGGCTGAGCAATGAGGTGTCACTGAAGACAGCACTGGCAAGGCAGGCTGGACTGGCAAAGGAGGATGCTGGAGCTGTCTGCAGAGACATCTTTGAAAAACAGATTGCCCAGCCAGACTGCAGTTCGCCTGAGAGAGAAGAGTGGTTCCTCTGGCAGCTGTTGCAAAACAAGACCAGGTCCCAGAGCCAGTCAAGGGCACCCCAGCAGGGTGAGCCTCGATGGGGGTGTGTTGTGGCAGTGACCACAGGTCATTTACTGGCCATCCGAGCCCTTAGGGCCTGGGCAAATGCAGTGCCTCCATTCTTGGTCAGAGGCCTTCCCAGAGTTCTTTGGGGGGCCTGGAAGTCTCCCAGGCCTGTAGGACAGTATGCAGCAGGAGCCACACTGTACAAGCAAGAAACTTACTTGCAACCAAAGCTCTTGGGGGAAGAGAGAAGGCGAACTGGGAAGAAAAGCATGGAAAAGAGAAGAAGCTGAAGGCAGGGCATTGTGCAGACAGACCACTGCTCCCCAGGGCATGGTGATGCACTGCAGTATCCCAGGGAGACTGACCAGGAGAGGGCACCTGGCACAGGAGCAGCACCGCACAAGGAAAGCAGATGGTTAGTGACCCTGTCATGGCTTTGAGAAAGCAGACCACTGCTTGAGACATCGCAGACACCTAAGGAGCCTGGCCTTGGTGAGGCAGAGGCTAAGACTCTGGGAGGGGTCGGGAAATGTTCTGGAGGGTGGGGAAGAATGAGTAGGCCAGACCGGTGGATCCACGCTTTGGCACACTAGGGTGCTTCCTTTCCTCTCGAGGGTGCCAGGACCTCAGAGGGAGGGTGCAGAGATATCTTTGGATGGATGGATCCCTGGGCCAGGCTGGTCAGTGGATTGTGCTAGGCACCCTGAGCATCTGCCCTGCTACCCCTCCCTGGGGAGTTCACGCAGGACTCCACCATCCTCTTCCTGAGTTCCACCCAGTGTACAGGGTAAGTTGGGAAAGAAGTAAATTGCCCCACAAGAAACAGCTGCAAACCCTTTCACTCTGCCAGGAAGTAGTGCCTGGTATCCCAAGGCAGGGAGGAGGACTAGAAGTGGGTTTAACAGCAGCTTCACAGGAGAGGTAGAACTAGATCAGGTAGCTTGGGCCAGAGGTCATCTTTATTGTGCTAATTACATACTACATGCGCAGGGAAGCATGACAGAGATCCACCCTGTAGGCCCCCCAGCACCGCCCTCCCCCCCACCGCACCTTCACCCTGCAACCAAGGACTGCCAAAGATAAACCTCAAGGACACTGGCCTTCCTCCCCAAGCTGGCAGTCAAGGAGATACCTTTATCAGGAGGTACCTGCTTCAAGGGTATTGTCTCCTCCAGTTCTCTCAGCATTGCAATTTAATTCTGCCAGCCCCCACGCCCCACCCCCTAGCCTGTCAACCCTACCCCTAGTGCCTCTCTTGAGGTTTTTTTCAAACACTGAAGCCCCTTTCTGCCCTGGTTTCCTGTGATCACTGATGAGGGTGCATCTGACAGGGAGCAGACTCCCCAGTCAGCTGGCGTTTATTGTGCATTTTTGTCTTTTTCTTTGTGCAGACTGTAAACTCAACGACAAGGACCATGTCTTCGTTTTGACAGTCAAAGCACACAAGTTTATTGATAATACACACCGATGCAGACTTTGGGGGAGGAGGTTAAGTCAGTAGTATGGATAGAAGGGAGTGCACTTTTTGGATGAGCAGATTCATTGTCATCCATCAGCTGGTGTCAGAAGAAAGAGTAAAGGAAAAATGCTTCAATCTAAGCAGCAGCAAATGCACTTACAGCACAAGCTCCCTGTATGAATCTGGTCTCTGTGAAGTGGTCCTGTTTAGACAGGGAAACCACCGAGGCAACAGTTGCACTCCTGATGCTGTAACTTGATGTTCTTTAGCCACAGCTGGCAGGCCACAGCAACCCAACCCGTTCACAGCCTGAAGAAGACTACAAGGGAGTAAGTAATTTTCAGTGCCCTTTGCCTGCAGACTGCAAAACCCAGAAGTTACCCAAAGCACTGTGGGAACCCCTGCCTGGCCAAATGAGAGTGTAGTCCTTGATTTAGAGACTGGAACATTCACCCAGTGCCTGGTGACTGGCCAAGGCTGACTCTTCAGTAGCACCCAGTGTGGATTCTTTGACATCTGCAAACCAAACGGGGTTTGGGGGCCATTCAGTCCCATTCTGCTCCAAATGGACACTTAAGGGGCCAGCGTTTCCAGCAGAATTCCTCTACTTCCGCTTCTGTTTATCATGAATGGGAACAGCACTTGGGCACCCAGCAGCTCCCCCGCCAAGGCTGGCTTTTCAGACAAACCCATCAGCAGTTGCAAAACCTGAACCTTAGCACATCCACTTCCCTTGGATATCAAAGGAAACTGCAAGTCTGAAAAGGACTTGGCAAGCATGTTATTAATAACTGTCATGCTTATTAACAAATTTAATCCGTCCTGCTGCAGAAATGAGTTTCTGCAAGGTGACACAGTCTCCTGACACACTTCATCAGTGTACATCTTAATCTGGCCCTGATTTTCAATACTGCTATTCAGGTTATCAGGGGCACACAAAGCCTTTTTCTGAACAGTGGGGTGGGGAGTGGGGCTTGTGCTTCTGATGATTGATAGGCAGGCTAAATGTCTACTGACATCGCAGCCACGTGAAGAAACAGCATCCTTGGGCTCAGCGCACAATTTTCTCGCATTGCAAGGACTCTTGGAGAGCTCACGAACACAACTGATATTTTTATTGTGTTCAGCATTCCCCCCAAAATCAATTTTTTAGAGTATTAGTGATTGTAATCAATGTGTTTGTATTGTTTTTGAGGCTCTTGGGGCTTTTTGCCAATGATTCTAGTCAATCTCAACCCTAAGAGTATTTTTTGAACCCTTGCCTGAATAACAAATCCCTCACCTGTCCACACCCCTCTTTGAATCACCCTACAGATATGCTCTTTTCTTATCTTATTAGGGTATAAGCCTTATATCAAATTGAACACCTGACTTGATCATCTGTTTTCATTCATTCATCTGGTTGAGCATATCCCTTGTCTATGACAAGGCATAAATATCTCTTACTCTTGAATAATCATCTAGTGATAGATTTGTTATTCATATTATTTTTATTCCTGGACACAAGCTATGTTTTTGCCATCTAACTTGGCCCTAGGAACAATGTAAATACAAGGAGGTTTTTTACAAGTGTACCCAGAGAGGCATTTCAACTTATAGGATACAAGAACCCTCTCTTTTCCTTTTTAGCGTCTTAATTTTCAAATACATCTTCACCGATGTTTGTATGTTTCAAGCTCATTTATACAATTTGCTCTGGCATTGCCATTTTCCAGTACCAATATGAAATGCGTGACAAAATGCTGGGCGAAGGAGAAGCTAAGTTATCTCTGGCTCCCACATTCCAACTCTGAAACTTCATTCCCACTCATTCTTTTTTTGATTTTTTTTTTTTTTTTTTTTTTTTTTTTGGTCTTTTTCGTTTTTATCGGTACCAGGGATCGAACTCAGGACTGCCTGCTGGCAAGGCAGGCGCTTATGCCGCTGAGCTAAATCCCCAGTCCCCACTCATTCTTTTTAAGATAGCTCACTGCATGATGCCATTTTCTATCTTTCTTTAACATATTTTTATCTGCAGGAGTACAGACAAGAGAGAATTAATTGATAGATTTACTGGCACTTATGTCTCAGGTGCACCCTTTCCAGAGTATGAAATCTGTTTTTCAGAACTGTACTATGTAAGTTTCCAGCATGCCATTGACCTTGTCTTCTAGACCCCTTACCGCCTTGCCCCTCCTCCACAAATTCCCACTATTCTCTACCTTACTGTATTCTCTTTTCTCCCTTAGATACAGTAACACTGTCTCCCCACAACCGCAAAATTTTGAGATTAAGAGTTTCCTTGAAACATTAAATTGGGATTAAAACCAGCCTCTACCACTGCCTTGAGACTGTTTGAGGTATCATATTTCCTTAAAGAAAACTGGCATGTAGCCTGTCATTATTTTGCTCTTCTTTTCCCTTGAGTTGTGCTGCCCTCTACAGACAGACAAGTCAACATTTATCAAAAAGTGCATAGTGCTAGGTGGTAAGCCACAGATCATGCCTTTTTACTGATTCAGGACTTTGAATGTTTCCCCTATCGCTCCCAGATGAATTCCAGCTCTCCTCCAGAATTCATGCATTATTTAACGAACTAAAGTAAACTAGTGGCCTGGGAAGGGGTGAAGGAGAAGCTAACTCCACCCAACCATGATCCTAACACTTGCCAGACAGCCTGCATTCTTATACCAACCAGCATATAACCAGAAGAGTTTCTTCCTTATGCTTCACATGGCTACAAACAGTTATCTGAGATCATCAGAGAGCTGATAACTGGAGAAAAAATACTTGTCCTTTCCACAGTTGTTAGTCACCTGAAATGCTCATCACCAATAAGTCATAGTCCCCAATTTCCCCTCCCATCACCAGTGATGCAAAAATATGCCCACCTCTCTTTTCTTCCACTACCCAAAACCTGTCACTCATTTTTTTTTATTTGCAATCCAAAAGTCAAAAGAAAGTGCATTTACATATTGCTGGAATCTACCTTTCTCTGATTTCCGGGAAGAAAATATACTTTTTCTTGGAGGAACTATTTATGTTTCTTTCTACTTGTCTTCTAGAATAAAGGAAAATAACATCATCTCTTTACTTTCCTCTATTCAGCCCCTAATATTTATCATCTTTCTTGAACCTTTAAAAAACAGATTTTATTCATGCACACAAAACATATACAAACATCACCCAACTTACTTATGTCTTGAGAGAATCTTCTGCTTCTTTAAATCTTTGGCCTTCCAGTCAATGCCAAGTTCTTCAAGCTGTAAACATGTTTCAAAACTTAAATTATAAAGCTAGTTAAGTCTTTCTAATGACTCATTTTTATGTTTATGAGCACATTTTACCTAACTTACCTTTTACATTATATCAAAAAAGTGTCACCTTAAGCATAGATTGGACACTGGGAATCTGAGGAAGAGATGTTTGGGTATTTTCATAGTGCAAAGGAAAGAAATTTGCTTTCTGGTGAAATGAATTAGCTCGGATTCTAGTTTTTAAGACTAGAATGTTAAAACTGAAAAAGTTAAAATTCCTTGTTAAATTGATCTGTAAAAACGTTGTTACTGGAAGTTGATTGAGATTTAAGGCCTTTCTTCCAGAAAAACAAGGACTTGATTGACAGGTTTAAATTATGTTCTGAATCTTAATGCCATGTATTTATATTTACTAAAAATTGTTTCAATGATATTTATATTAGTAATCAAACCTTCTAGTCCAGCTGAGAGTTCTTCCACTTGCAAAATATGTTTGCATGGAGCTACTTGAATCTTTTTAATTTCTAGTCTATCTTCCTACATTATAATTGAAGCTAGAATTCCCTTCTTGATAAATGAACATGCTACTTATAAATTGATGTTTATTAACTGTGATAAACTTGAAACACTAGAGAATATATTATAAGCCTAATCCTGTAAAGTTTTATGTAGATGTATCTTAATTATTTTTTGAACCTGTGTTTGTATTGGTTTTCAAGATACCTTAAATTATATTTTTTCTTCATTTTTGTAGAGCTACTTCTGATTTGGGAGCTACCTTTTTTCAGTGTTGTTGTTGAGGATTAATTATTAAATCTTTATTTTTAAATCTTTTAAGTCATTATTTTTCTATTATGACATATTTGCCATGCATAATGATCACATTCATCACAGGGAATCTATACCTGTACATAATATATCTTAGCTCATTTTCCCCATTTCTCTCCCCTCCTTTCAACCCTTCTTCCCCTCTCCATTTTCAAAAACTTTGTTTCCATTTTTCCTTCCATTCTCTCTTTTTCTAAAATCCCCTTTGCTTTGCTTTCCGTTCCTTTCCTTTCTCTTCCCCCTCTGCCTTGTTCCCCTTCTCATTTGAACAATTCCCAATATCTAGCCTCCATTTTGTTCCTTATCTGCATTTTGGGTTTCTCACACAAGAGAAGCAATGTGATACCTACACTTCTGTGTCTGATTTATTTCACTTAGCATTGTGGTCTTGAGATGCATCCATTTACCTAAAGTGTCTCAACTTTGTCTTTCCTTATGGCAGAGTAGTACTCCACTATATATAAATACCACATTTTCTTTATTCATTCATCTGTTGATGACAATATGGACTGTTTCCAAGATTTAGCTATTATAAACTGTGCTGCTGGAGGGGCTGTATTCTTCTGACTTCTTACAACTATTGCTAAAGGTTGTACTCTAGTTTTCAAAGAAGTGTCGTTTTATTTTTTTTAGTCACTTATAAAGTCATGTGCTCATTAATTGGGGGACTACTTGCATATAAGTGCTGATACAAATTAAAACCCAGTTTGACCTCATTACATGTCGCTCCATGAATGTTGACAAGGCAAGGAATATCTTGTCTGTAGTATGCTTATTGTCACTTCTGCACTAAAAAAGCTAGGAAAGAAATCTAATTTTCTTCCTTATACAGATAACAAAAACTTAAAACACTAAGTGTGCTGAGGTCTCTTAATAGCCTCCACATATGGTGTGAACTGATAGTGTTAATTTCAATTTAAGAAATGATCTGAATCTTCACTTGTGTAGTTTTATAATCTACATGCAATATTAGCAAAACAGATAGCCTTTACAGTTCCATGCGTGTACACAGGCTAACTCCATTCCGCTTCCACATCCATTAGTCATTAAATTTTGTAAAATGGCATTATAACATCACAACAATATTCTGTTACACCGATTTTATAAACTTTACAGTGTAATACTTTTTGTCTTTCTGAGGCAAACCAAAATTGCGTTTCTCAAGGTTTTTGTTGCCTTCTTTGTGGCATTTGGTGGAACATTTTTTATACATTTATAATAAAAATAAAACAGATCATAAATCCTTTTTAAAATCTTAAATCATATACCAACTTTTTGGTTGAAATTGTGTAGGATAAGATAAATTGCTTTCTATTAATCAATATTAGTCTGTTTCTATAACTACAGTCAGGTTGAAATAAATTTTTTTTAAAAAGCAGATTTCATGAAAAAAGGCACTGAGAGATAGAACTTTTAATTATTTTAGCCTATTTGTTTTTCTTGAAAATATTAGCTTTTTAAAAATATTTGTTTATGCATTTATACATAAAAGGAGTTTTCTGGAGTGATGTTTGACAGAATTCCACTGCTGATTATTTCAGAGAATAAAGTTTAAGGGAAAATACAGTCTAGCTGCAATAGCAAATATTAATATTAATGGGACATAATAGTGAAGAGAGCTGTCCTTTGAACAAGACCATCTTGTTTTCCACATAGACCTCCATAAATGATGTTGTAGCCATGGTTTACAAGGGAAGATTTAATACAGGACACATAATTTATAAGGTTATTTTATAATATTCCCTCAAAAGGTCAAATACAGAACAGTGCACATGATCTATCCACACACTATAGTCCCAAAGAATGTAGGGCATGGATTTTTTTTGTTTTGTTTTGTTTTGGTTTGGTTTTTTTTTTTGGTCATTTTCCTTTTTATTGGTACCGGGGATCGAACTCACAACTGCCTGCTTGCAAGGCAGGCGCTTATGCTGCTGAGCTAAATTCCCAGCCCCTAGGGTATGAATTTTATGGCAATGTCCTACAGGAGTGCAGCTAAATACTGACAGCCCAAGGCAATGTCCTCTGTGAGTTCAGCTGGAGGTCTACAGCCCACAACAATGGCTCATG